CCCCCCCCCCCCCTCTGCAATGGCAACTCACCTCGAACGGGTCACTTGAGCGGAACGACGCTGAGCTCTCGCCAGAAATCTTGCGTTCCGGCGGACCAGCAGGCGGCCGTGGCGGCCGAGAGCCCGACATGAGACCAAAACCAATCCAAGCAAAGCAAAAAGACGGTGTGGGCAAAAAGTTGAGTAAAGGTTTGCTTCCTCCAAGCTTTTTGAGCTGCGAGCTGTCGATCCTGGAGCAAAAAGACAGCTTTCTCCACCAAAAAGATGGCTTCTTGAGCAAAAAGATGACTCGCCATTGCAAAAAGATAGATCATCCATCAAAAAGACAGCTTTTTGACCCAAAGAGATGACTGCCTCCACCAAAAAGACAGCTTTCTGACCAAGCAGCCAACTTGCTGCTGCCGACAGCCTTCTCATGCAGCATGACAGCCTTCTGAGACACAATGACAGTCTTTTGACCAGCCTGACAGCTGCTCGGCCACAATCACACCCTTGCAATGAGAATGACGACTTTTTGACCATGAAGCCAACATCTGCTTGTCGGCACACACAGACAACGTCACTGTCACCACTTTGGTCACCACACACAAACAGACACAGACACACACACCGATAAGGGATAAATCGGCACTCATGCGCGCACCGTCTCTTCGTTCCGCCGCTTGCTTCCGCGGAACTCACACACTGGGCAACACTACTCTACCCAAATGAAACACCCACACACACACACATCCATCCATCCACACCCACCCACAGACGGACGGACAGATAGATAAATAGACTGATAGACTGACTGTCCCTTCTGACCTATGGGCAAGATGGGGCGGGCTGTGTGCTGCCTGCCTGTCTGCCTGCCTGCCTGCCTGATGGGCTGGATGGAGTGGACTCATCTATCGACAAGAAAGAATATGTCTCTCAGGCAAAGGCCCAGGCAATTGCGGAAGCACAAGCGCATCACACGACATGAATGACACCATGACACCAGATGTAATCTAAGCACAGACTAATATTAGACACGCGGGCTAACTGATCAACGCTTCAACACCGAACCAATCAACGACCGAGCGGCGTCGCACTCCGTCGACACCTTGCGAGCGTATCTCATCAGATCATCCACGCCTTGCTTCCACTGCCACCCACTGCCTCCTCTCTCGACGACTGCACTGCGTTGCGCACCGCCGTCGCCATCGAAAGTCACCTCCACACTGGACAAGGTAAGCATCTTGACAGAGACTCGTTCGCACAACCACTGCGGGTACTTCTCGCGGAACCGACGCCTGAACTGACTCATCACCCGCTTGCCCTCCTCGCTGTCGGCCGGAACGGGGCCATCCGTCCCCGTCGACTCAGTTGTTTGCTGTGCTATGCTGCCAGCCGGGACGAGCATGGAGGGCGCGCGAGCGGACGGACTGAACGGATCGTTGGGGATGCGATCGACGGGAGGGAAGGAAGACGGACTAACAGCACCGGTGGACGACGAGGACGGACCGAACGAGGTATGATGGCGTCCACCTGTCCCGTAAAGCACCCGTCCGCGAATTCAAACCTGCGTATGAGCTGCAGCAAAGGTGTCAACAGACTGCTGTGTGTGGGAGGCATTATGTGCATGGGACGAGCGTACCACCAGCTCGGCGCCGGGATACAGCAGGTCTGAGTCGACGGAATACATAAACCTGACTCCAGAACAGAAGAACAGTCACGTTGTTGCTGCGTCTAAGCTGCTCTCGACTCACATGAAGATGTAGAAGACCGTACTCGGCCTCGTTGCCAGGCGTCCCGCACCAATCGAACACGCTATCGGCACCAAACAGCTCGTCAAACACCTGCACCAAGACAGACAAGCCAAGATGGGAAGGAAAATCTTGCCCCGCTCTGCTGTGTTGCCGAGCGCCGCTTCTCACCAGTGCGATTGCAGCTTCGACGGCTTCCCGACGAGCCTTGCCTCGCCGGGTGGACGTGGGCGGTTTGTTGGTGTGGGGAGTGCCCTCAAGGACAATGTAGCACTTCTGGACACCCCGCCGCCGGAGGTAGAGCAGCAATGGCCGCGTGTGGCGCTCGATGATGAGCTCGGCGAGTGCGTCAAATGGGAGCCGCCGAAGATCCTCCTCGCCAAAACCATGATGTCGGCGGAGATGGGCAAAACCGGTATGAAACAGCTTGGGACCCTGAAGCGCACCAGGAGGTGTCTGCAGTGTTCCCCCGCAAAGCGCTGAGTGGAAGAGGCGCTGACCTCCATTGCGATAGCGGCGGGGATGGGGGCATCAGCAGCTTGAGCAGCGCCATTCCGCTCCACATACAGGTGGTTGCTGCTTGCGGCTTTTACAGACAGCTGATGTCACTCCTTTGAGGCCCATCTACGGAACCCGATTGCAGCAGCGGTTGGGGGACGAGAGAGCGGTTCAGACGCCATTGCGAGCTGCGAGCTGCAGGTTGAGCCTGGTTGTGAAATTCTGGTGTGCGAAGAGAGCGAAGCCACGCACGCCACCATGTCAAGCACCCTCACCCTGACGAGCGGGAGGGGCTTTTTTTGGCGCGATGCAGACGCCGCCGTCCTTGGCAGAGGTCGGGGCGGCCGTGTGTTCCGCTGGGACGGGGAGGACGGCATCAGCGGCGAGGCGGGTAAGGCCGCCATCAAGGTGAGAGGCGTCCAAGCGGAGCTCAAGGAGGAGGAGAAGAAGGCGCTGGCACGGGAGATGCAAGTGGAGGCGAGCAGGATGAACGAGGTCGGCCACAAGCCTCCTTTCCTGCCCCTCCTCTTCGCCGACACGGACCCACTCGCGGCGCCGACCTTCATAAGAAAGAGCGGGAACCCCATCCCCTGCGTAGCCATCGGGATGCCACTGCTGGGAGGTGAGTGACTGCACACATGCACTGACTGCACTGATGGGAGGGGGGAGGACAGAACACGGGAGGACCAGCTGGTGTGTGTGTGTGTGTGTGTGTGGTCAGAGGAGAGGTGGATAGAGATGAGCAAGCTGCTGTTTGAGACTGAGCACAAGGAGGCGTTGTTCAATGTGCGGCTGCTGGCGAACAAGACTGGGAGGACGCCCAGCGACCGGCTGGCCATCCGCGAGGGGCTGCTGGTCATCACTCGAGCGGTGCGCGAGGCCATTCGAGGACACAAGGAGGCGCTCAAGCACAAGATGCTCTGCATCGACCACTTCCTCAACAATGTGTTCATCGAATGGTCCGCCCTGCTGGGTGACGACTCGCCATCCCGCCCCTTGGCCTGCCAGCCGGCCTCCACCTGCCACAGCCGCTTCATTGACGCCGCCAATGTCGTCAAGATGCAGCAGCCAGGACCCGCCATGACCCCCACCACCGACGCCCCTCCCCCATCCCCTCCCGCACACCTCGCACCCACCTGCGCCCTCGTCCCCCTCACAGCAGCCGCCAAGCAGGCCGAGCAGCAGGCGCCCGCGGGCACACGGTCCTTCCGGCCGCCCGAGCTGATCGCGGTGTACGTCGCGCAAGCCAGATGGCAATCCCAACGCGGAAACCTTTGCGGGCCTGACGGAGGGATTGACAGACGCTCAGCGCGAGACCAT